CATGAAGCAAGCCAGGGTTTGATGAGAAAAGGCACAATCCAGGTCAATAGTTATAGGAGATCACAGAGATTGGGCCGAGGCCATGGGCATCAAGTGTGTATCTACTCTTATACATTAAAAGCATTAGATCACATCATCAACAATTGCACTCTGAAATAAAATTGCAACATTGGATAACAGTTATCACATCATAATATTAGAAAACAATATTAATAATTAGTTTGTGTTATTCATTATTTAAGACAACTAATTTTTGTTGCTGTTTAAATTGCTTTGTTTTACGTTTGGTTTGGATTATTCCTTTCAATTTTCTTTCATCTCTTGAAAGTACTGACTGTTGCTGGAGTATGATTCCAATGAGTCAGCCACCCTGGAATACTCTTCCAAGTTATTACTTTTCATGTATGACACCAAGACACTGAGTGCGGGCTGCCTGCAACCGTAAGAGGGGTCACAACTAAACCAGAGTCTACCTATGGCCCACCTCCACTCATAAGATAAATTCCCATTGGAGATCAATAGACAGGAATGGGAACTCCAACTTATATTTTTACATTGCTAATCCAAGAGCCCTGAGGAAAAGTGGTGGATCCCACAGGTGTGTGATGAGCTCAGTACAGATCTGATACCTTTCTGATCCATATTCAGGCCAACAATGGGCACTAACTTAGACAACAAACCATCAGGGGAGCATTGCATTGATTTAAATATTTCTTGTATCTGGTGCCAGTTATTATTTTATGTTCAGATCAGTTTATGACTTGTTTTTGTCATAATTTACAACAATTCAGAACTTGCATACATTTTTTCACGCAAGTTATTTTTATTTTCCATCATGCGGTTATTTTGCAATTTTTGTACAATTTCTGAAAATGTATTCAAATGTATTCAGTTGAATCTCCTCAAAGTAAGCACTAAATATCTTTTCTCCAGGTACTGTCTCTATCACCTAGTATATCTGTTTCAATGCTTAGTGGTACTTTGTCACTTTTAGTGTATTGTTTTCCATGACGCTATACAAGTTTGTCGCTGCATTGAAAAAAAGAGTGTTGCTAGATGACATCAAAGGTTATCTCTAATGAAGTGTAGAAAGGTTCATGTGCATTGGCTGTTGTAAACCTGACACTTTGTTCTCTTAATTGTTTTTATCTCTAATCCTCTCAGCTCAAGTTTTGTATTCTTAACCTGCTTATATCCAATACTCTCCTTACTAATCTACTATCTCTGAAAGCTGCAAACGAGTTTCTCTCTTGCACAAAGTTCTGAAAACCCATTACCAGCATCCTCAACAAGCTCTATTTACTCAAAGTATGTCAATCAAGCCTGCATTTTAGACCCTTATCCTGATCTTCAGATTCCTCTAGAATCTCATCCACTCCACCTCTTTCCAGTCTTCTCCAAACTACATTCCAGCCCATACCTTGTGCTCTTCTCATTTTGTTTTTCCCCCTCACTACTCTCTTCACTTCACCATTGCTGCCTGGACACTGTTGTGCGCAATTTCTGCTGTGTTTCACCCACAAAATATACAATCAATTTACTTCACAATATATTCTGTGAAGCACTTTGAGACATTTCAATGATGTGATAAGATGCTACATCAAGTGCAACGATCACTATTATTATTATAATTAATCACCATGCCTCTGTCCTCTCGAAGTCTCTTCTTAAACTGCTTTGCCTCTCTCTGCTTTGGCTCTCTCCCTGCCTTAAAAAAGAACATCAAAAAGCTTAGCTTTTTAATCTTGTCTTTGGTCAACATCTTTAAATATCCCATTCATCTGCTCAGTTTGCAGTAATATTTTATCATGTTTGGGATCTTTTGGATGTCTGAAATTGGGAACAAGCTTGTATTTACAGTGTTTTATATAAGTTAAGACACAGCTGAAATATTGTCTGCAGTTTTGAATGTCACACAATACAATTTATATTTATATATCACCTTTGATATTGGGAGCATGTCTCAAAGCACACTATAGAAAGGTTATTAGAGCTATGGAGAGGGCCCATAGAGGTTGATGATGGACAGGAGAGGATTTGGACATCAGTAGAAGTTGGAGGCCCTGGGACTTTTTTCACTCCAGGTATCGAGTAGAGGCTGGGGCTCTTTCTGTTTGTCTTCCTTGGGGAAAGTAAGTGAAGTTTCCTTGCAGCTGTGCATGTAGCAACATGATGTGCTTGGCAACAGAATGTCAGAATCAAGTTAATCCTCCTTGCCAGTATTGATGGTTCAGTACCTGAATCAGGCAGGGCTGCAGTACTCCAGGATACTGCTGATGGAAGACCAGCTAGCCTGGCTCATCTGAAAGACTTGTAGGAATAGATCTAGCGATATACTTCCATATATATTAAAAATAAGGAAGCTCAATCGTAATCATAAAATAATTTGATAGATTTCGTCCTGTTATTCTCTTGGTAAAATAAAATCTGTTAGTACTACTAATAAAGGAATCTACATGAATAGAGAAGTTCCTTATGGTAAACCTGTCTAACATTTTCTTTTAATAATAATCATAACAACAACAATAATAATTCTTGTATTTGATATATCGCCTCATCAAGTTATCAAAACGTCGCAAAAGCACTTCATGGGATACACTGTGTATTTTGTGGATGAGTAAAACATTTTTTGGGAATGTGTTTTATTAGCTTTACTGATGGTGAGTAGGTAAATTAACCATGCAGCATGGACTGAGATATAGGAACAATGTGGTGCCGGATTCAATCCCTGCTGTAGGCTGGGTCTGCTGATTTCATGCAGGTTAACTATGAACAGATGGAAGTGTTCTCAAAGCCCTCAGCCAGAATGTGGAGGAGTGCAAGATGTGAAAAGGCAATCTGGAGCATTCCTGCTTCTGGTTATTACACTCTGATGCTGTCTTTACGGGATAACAATGTCATCTCTACCAAATGATCACATTGCCTGCGAGTGACAAACATGCAATGAGATTTTTCAATCTGAAGGCTGTGGCTGTGCTATTAGTGATGCTAAAATGTTAGAGCATGCTTCTCTTGTAATCAGAGGCCCAGTATATATCGAAAAAGATTAATAGCCCTTTGATTTTCACCTGGGGAAGAGAATAAGAATGTAAATGTACTTCAATGGCAGGAGTCATCTCTCTGTACACCTCCTGCTATTGATAGTCTCTACTGTGCTTTATCTAGTTAAGCACTAATCAATCGATCATAAGGGAAGTTCAGTTGAAGAAAATCCTTTGTCACATTTAATCCCCATCCATCCAGAATACATACATTACCAGTTAGAGCATATGTGCCCACACAACACACAGTAACTACACTTTACAGTGAATCTTGTGAGGTACAATAATAATATTATTATTATATCAACCATTTCTCAAATTAGTCCAACATTCTGACATCAACCACGTTTCCTTTTACTGTTTCAGTTGTCAATTACCCTTTAGATATAGCATACATCATGTTGTCTGTCTTGAAATTGTTCTCTACAAACATAAACTTGTGATCCCTTGTTCTGCTGCCTTTCCGATTTAGGTTTGCAAAGGGCAATTTCATGACACAAACCAGAAAGTCTTCATTTACCCAGTGGGTATTTAACTGAACAGAAAGAGCTTGATGTTATGATGAAAGAACAGTGGTGCAGTTATTCAGTAAGGATGTGATCAAATAGGCTGAAGGACCTTCTTTATAAGTGGAGTCCTGTAGCTCAGTGGTTAGATCACTCACTTTGTAAGCAAGAGACCTGGATTTGATTCCCGGCAGGGTGAAACCTTGGGCAAGTTTCCTTACTCGACACCCTTGATAATATTCCCTCAAGAAAAAAAACAATAATAAATTGGTCATTTCAATCCACGACTGTTAGTGGGATGCTGCTGTGCGCAATTGGCTGACGCATTTCGCCCACAAATATAGTCAATTCACTTTACAGTCTATTCTGTGAAGCACTTTGAGATGTCTAGAAGATTTGAAAAGCGCTATATCAAATGCAAGGATTATTATTATTATAATACTACAACTACTAACAATAATCATTGCATTTGGATAGTGCTTTTCATGTTGGAATGACATCTCAAATGTGCTGCACAGGAATTTCTGCAAAGTGTAGTGACTGAGAATTTGTAGGCAAACGTGGTAGCCCATTTACGTATAGCAATGTCCCACAAAGAAGCCATGCATCCTGTAGATTAGTGGTTAGAAGACTCACCTCACAAGTGAGAGGACCTGAGTTCCAGGCATGGCAAAACGCTGGGCAAGCTTCCTTACTCCACATGGCTCTGTTTACCTAATAGTAAGTAGGAACCCAGTTGATAGTTGATTTGCGGATCGCTTTTCTGGGGGTAACAATTCCTTCAAAAAAAAATAATTTGTTCATTCAATCCACGAGTGTTTGTGGGACACTGCTGTGTGCAATTGGCTGCTGTGTTATGCCCACAAAATATAGTCAATTCACTTTACAATATATTCTATGAAGCACTTTGAGACGTCTCAAAGACGTGATGAAGCGCTATATCAAATGCAAGGATTATTATTATACATGATCTTACAAAACTGTCTTTTAATGCAATGAAGAAGGTTTTAACAGTGGGTGTTCCCCAGTTTATTTTGACTGCTATCATAAAATCAGAACTAAATTATTAAGCAATTTTTCCATGTTTTATTTCCCTTTCCAGTAAAAAGCCCAAAGCAATGCAGTAACAAAAGTGCAGACATTTAACATACATGTGACAATTACATTTGAGAACTCGTAAGTATTTTGTGTAATACAAAAACAATAATGGTTGCAAGACAAGTTCAATAAACATGACATTCCAGACTTGATATTGCAGTTTTAAAACAGACATCAAAACATATAATTTCTCCTTTTTTTTGCATTTATGTGACAAAATACAGATCCTGAATAAACACCTAAATGCAAAGGTAATTGACATTTTAATGTTAATACTCAGAGAGAAAACAGAACTGAAAGAGTCACACTCATCTTTATGCAAAGATATCAAATGAGATTCCACTAGTTCTGCTCTGGTCATAGGTAAAATGAGTGTTCATTTTGGAAACAAACAAATCTAGCAATAGAAACCTAACCTGACAGTAAGAAGGCTGATTTGGATGTTCTGGGCCCATTAAGCAAGTTTTTACTTGGAAAATTGACTGAGTTTAATTTTCAAAATGACATAAATTGCACTTTTGTCAGTAGAAACTTGCCGTACCTGATGAAAAACACAGTGAAAATAAGCTGACGTGATTTCAGTGGACTTGTATTTCAAACCCACATAGTTGCTGTGTGATGGATCCAGCAATTAACACATTTTGGGCCAAGCTACGTACATTTCACATTGCGGTAGGAAATCTCACCACTAGGAAATAATTACAGCAATTTCTGAAACTATTACCAGTAACGTCTGTCAGCCAGATGCTTTTTCACCTAACAGACATTTTAATTTTAAAGTTTGCATTTGTTAAAACTCTGCTAGTTATCCAAGCCAAATTCCTGTCAGTCGATGCATATGGGAACAGGCACTTAGATTTTTTTAAACTTTTTCTTCTGCATTTAAAATGTGCATGATGGATTTTGATTGTGGTGATGAGCCTGAGAATGTGATAGTCATGTTAGTGGCCTGGAGGCAGCACTTTTAACAGTGGTGGAGGAAGTAAAGTCCCGTTTGCCTTTCTTGCTGCATTTCACAATCATCACTGTCATTCTCTTCCAGCCTCACGGGCATCCCTCTGAAGAAGATGACAAGAACACAGTTAACAACGCAACAGGCCAAGATAAAGCACTTCACTAACCATACAGTAGCCGCAAGGATGATTATCACAAGATCACAAGGTTTGGATAAAGGTATATCAGCCCATTTGATTTCATCTATCCAGAATACCGACACTACCATCTTCCCATTACAGCATTATTACAGCTATTTCCTATATGACTCCAACGTCCCAGCCTCAACCACTCTTTCTGATAACATGTTTTTGTGTAAAAGATACTTCATGGTGTTAGTTCTGAAATTGCCCTTCATAACCTTGAATCTGTGACTACTTATGCATTTGTCTTGGTTAAGTTAGTATGGACTAGGATCGTAAAAGAGTTCAAACTTTTTATATTTAGGCCACTACGTATATGCAGGTGGCTGAAAACAAGATGATCTACAGAATGAAGGAATGGGGGCTGGATTCTGCTTCACCATTACTGTATCATTTAGGGAAGTGACCACATTCCACTGATAAAATAAGATTTGCCACACTTCAGCCCCTGGGATAAACACATAATAACATTTCAGATTATACCTTTGTCTCAAATAATAATGTAAACTTAGTGAAAGCTGAGCCAAGTTCTTTGCATTACAATACGATCCTCACATAGATGTGCTGACTGGCTCTGTGATATGAGATGTGTGGGTGCCTGTAGGTTTCTTGCAGTTACAAAATTCCTATGATAAAAGTTGTTGTTGACCTAAACTATGTTTTGTTTAATGTTCTACTAGAATACTGCATTGTTTGTGGATACTATATGTTCAAACTATGCCTAGTGAGAATTGAAAAAAAGACCTTGAAGATAATTTCTCTCAATTCAGGAGACAACATTCAGACGACACACTGCCTGATTATTCTGCAATGGCATGTGGGGTAGGAGATCTCAGCTTTGAGATGTCAACTCAGCTAAGTTTATGCCACTTTCACATTTGGGTCAGACCCATATTGGAACTTTGAGCCCATGCTCTAGACTGACACTCCAGAACAATATTGAGAGAGCAGCTGTTGAAGGTGCCATCATTTGGATGAAACATTAAACCCTTACCTATTCAGGTGGATGCCAGGTCATTATTCATAATGAGAAGGGAGCTTATAATGTGTTGGCCAGGAATTCTCCAGAAAAATTGATCAATCACTTCATGGATGTTTGGATGGGATATTGCTATGCCCAAATTGGCTGGCGTACTTGCCTACAATACGCAATAGTTGCACTTTACAGAAAATTTGTGAGGCACTTTGACATACTCTTGACGTTCTAGGAGCTATACTAAATGCAGGGATTATTGTTATTTAAGAAGGCATTGCCCGACTGCAGCAAATGACAATTGGTGAATTGATTTGCTCCCACTGGAGTTTGAAGGAGTTTCTGAGATTGCAGAGGCTGAAGCTAAGTTGAGTATTTGTGTGGCATCTCCAAGCCTCACATCATTATTGCTGTGCTCATCAGCACACCAGTGCGTTTCAGAGAGGAGGTTTATCGACCATCACAAAAACATCTGCTGAATATATGAGCAGTAGAACTGGTTGCAGCATTCAGCCTACATTAAAGTCATAATTTATAGTTTACTATTGGGAATTATTGTCATTCCCTATTTACAGCACAGCAATAAGTCGCAGCAATACATTTACTGCAGCAATACATCTAATGCTCAGAAGGTTGTGGATTCACACCCCATGAAACTTTGAACTCACAGACTAGATCAGTGTTGGCCAACCATTTTGATCGGCCAACAAACTCAATTTTCTTGATTGATTATTTCTTGATTTATGCTATAAATCAAGAAATATTTGATCAAAATAACTTGAAACACACTATTGATTGAACATGGGCTCACCTAGACTATTGTGAATACTCGGAGGTGGAGCACACTTCTTGATGGCCATAGGCCACTGGCGACTACTGGCCTAGATAGATACTTCAGTGCAGTACTGGGTGAGCTCTCCATTGTGAGCACTCCACTGTTAAGCGATCTGAGATATTACCCTGTGTGAAGCAAGCTATCTATATGCAAGTTATTGTTGTTGAGAAGTACCAGATTTCAGACATTAAACCAAGACTCTGTCTATCTGTCCATGTGGTCATTAAAGATCACATGACAGTAATTAAAAAGAGAAGGGAATTTCTCCCTGTAACCTGGCCAACAATCCCCCAGATAAAATTAGGCATTCACTTCATGGCTGTTTATAGAGTATTGTTGTGAGCAAATTGGCTGCTGCATTCATCTATAAATGCATGGTCACTACAATTTACAGCATTTTTGTGAACCACTTTGAGATGTTGCACCAAATGTAAGGTATCTAGATTTTGTAAAGGATTGTTGGTAAATGTTGCAACACCTGGACTGGGTTCCCTCTGATTAAACAGTTTTAGGTAGATGTTAATGTCTTCATTTATTAAAGAAAGGATAGGCTATAAAAGTGATTATTTCTTCTAATGAAAGATATCGGGAGTTATTCTTTGATTGTCAGTCTGTTTACCAACTTTTATTGATGTTCAATTGATGTTACATTGGTAAAAAATTATTGAAGCCAGTAAAAGAACTTCTCAGTTAAAGGTCAGTAGCTTTGTCAAGCTCTGATCTTAAGCAAGTTTGAGGAACCACTAGGTTTGTTGAGCTGGGCTGCTGTGAACCTGAACTTCCAAACAACATTCGGCGATGATTTACTTTCATAAAGAGTAGAGTGAAATCTCACTGAAGGTGTGGTACAGTTGAAAAGCAAACATTCCTATGCCTTTTATTAAAATGAAATTATGTACCTGCCCAAGTCCCTGACCAAGGGAATTCACCAGTAGTGACTTGGTTTAATGAGCTTCCTAACATCAGATAGCACTGGGGCTTTAGCATGCAACAGCTCTCACAATTGATAAGCAGTGCAGTGAACTGAGACAGGGACAGGAAAGAGCTGGTTTTAATCACCATTTAAAGTCTCACTCTTGAAACTGCAGCTGAGACATAAATTATAAAGAAAGGGTTACACACATGCAATAAACGCCATTATAAAAAACAGTTATTCAGCAAAGACACATGAGGATATTTGTCACAAAACAACAAAATGGAAAGTGGATATGACAAACAGGGCTCTTCATCAAACTATACGAGTGAGAAATATATTCTTTATTTCAAATATAGCTATGTAGTAATTAATTTAATAGATTTCACATAACTTAATCATCCAGCTAACGTTGTATGATTTGCCCATTCTCCGAATTTTATATTAAATATCCCCAAACTGAAAACCCATGTTAAATCTAAACTAAATGTCTGATTTGCATCTTAACATTATGTTTTAAACATTCTCTGTCAGTGTACTGCTAGAAGTGGAACCTTTTCAAGTGAAAAATAATTTGTATTTTTATGGCACCTAACACGTGGACATTAATTGCATGTAATTATTGTCGACTGCAAATGTGGCAGTCATATTGCACAGAGCAAAGAAACAAAAGCAGCCGTTGGGTGAATTGTCAATTCATCTGCAAGACACCATGAAATACTCTTTCTCTTTTCAAATAGTGTCATGGTATCTTTAATGTCCACCTGAAGAACCAGCAGACTGCTCCTTGGTTTAACAATTCAACTGAAAGATGACTAACTCTCACAATGCAGTGCTACCTCAGTACTGCATTGCCATGTTAGCCCAGATAATTAGTTTAAAATCCACACACTTCTTAAGCCAGATGCAAGGGCACTGCCAGCCACGCCAACCATACATCACATTTGTAATACATGACACATTTTTCTGTTTCTTTTTCTTGTAAATGCAAGACCTTGAAGTGAATTTAAACATATTTAAATATATTTTACTAATTACACAGACAAAACATATACTGCTTCATGGAATCTTCCATATTTTTTCTAGGGAGCAGAATATTTATCCTATGCTTTAGTATGAATCATATTTGAAAATGCGTTTCATAGAAGATCTTATAGTGTCATTTCAAATGGTAAAATGAGATTGTTAAAGTATACTCAGAGCCAAACTTTCACATTCACCAAAGCAGCAGGACAAGAAGGCACATGTGTAGGGTTTTGAAGGAAAAGTTCAGAACAAGCACTAGAAGGATGTAATTGATGACTGGAATAGTTTGTAGGAATATTGATTGAGACCAGGACACTGGAGTCATTTAAGAAATACATTAATGCTATAACAGGAAAACAGTAAGATGGGATGAGATCAAATGAGCTGAAGAGCCTTCTTCATCACCTGTTGTGATATTAAAATGTAAATCTAGCACTAGCAAGTCTTCAATGTTCAGTTAATAATTATTTATGAGTCCATATTCCTTTTAATGATCAATAAATAATACTGTTAAAAAGTACGAACTGTAAATCTGAACTGAAAATATTATGATTGTTTGAATGTATGACAATACAATGCATAGATATTTGTAATGGTGTAAACATAAACTAATATTTATCAATGGGAAAACCCATTTAGGGATGGTCAAACCTTTCAAGATCCAATATTTTTTTATACTTAATCCATTAATTTTATACTTAAAAAGTTCACCCTTCTTCAAGTAGATTACTGATTTCTACTAACTTCACAATGTTAATTAAAGGTACTTATCTCCCTGTGTGACATATAGCCTCCACTTTTTTCCATGGTTCTATGGGTCCCTAACTTATTATTGTAATAAGCACTCAGAGATAAATAGTTTTTACAAATAACTCAAGTTATATCATAATGGATGCTTTCAAAATGTTAAAAAGCTTGAGACAAAAAGTGTTTTATTGATGTTACAAAATATGGCAGTAAATCTCAGAATTTATTATAAAATCTTTTGCAAACTAGAGTTTAATATATCCTTGTAACATGCTATCCAAAGAATCATATATATATATATACACACACACACATATTTAATAATGTACACAACCTTCAGTTTGTGTTGATTTATTTTGCTAACACCAGCAGGTTTTGCTATATGGATTCAGGTTCATATCTTCTGTTGTGGCTATATTGTGCCATTC